CACTTCGGTGCACGTAATCATATAATTATTGTCCGACTGTGTATATTGAACATTTTACGACGACGAATATCGTCCAATTCCCAACCGTAACTCAGACAGGCTACAGGCCTCATCTTCTTCATCATCATAATTATTATATTGTCCATAGTAAATAGGGAAAAGCTATGAATTCAGAGTATATTCAATAATAGACGTCTCATAATGCACGAGAGCTCATTTCAAAGCATCTAGAAAACAAAACGAAGGAGGAGCCGAAGATCCCCACCACGCCTACCCCACTAGAATGTGTCTTCCAACGACAGAACAAGCTACGGTAGCTCTCTTCTCATGACCCCGCCCACCCTGGGAAACCATCTGTGCGATGTCAGGGTGAACTCTGGATCCGCGCTTGATATATATTTAAGAGAAATGCTTTTAAAAAGGTATATTTACAGATAATTATTTTAAAACAGAAAGTTTTTAAGCCTCAAAGCTTATTTTATTTCTGTTGGTTACGCAACACTGACTTGGGTTGTTCGTCATCACTTCAAGTCTATCGATTCGTGGAATAGGCGTATTGGACACCACCAAAGCAGATAAAAAGCCATATAGCAGACGGCTGTCGTGTGAATAAAATGCGGTTGTACAGTGATATCCTGCTGCAGACTAAAACAGTGACGTGGTGGACGGGCCCGAATTCTTTTTGTCCTATTTGGCTAAGGTGCTTTTGTATAAGCAAGAAATGTGTTTAAATAATATTGGAATAATTTCAAATCCTTGGCCTATTATTAGGGGCGGATTTAGGATTGTGGCCGGTCCACCCCCCCCGCCCCCTTTGGGAGGTACAAAAAAAAGGAAGAAAAAGAAATAAATGATAGCCCAGAACCCCTCAAATGTTATTTTCGGGTGTCTAGAACACAAAAATTCAAAGGGGCATGCTCCCGGACCCCCCGGGACAATGTTGCCCTAATGTTCCCCCCATCTCTAGATCCGCCCCTTATTACTATTTTATTTCAATTATTGTTTAATTTATTGTTAACACTTTAGCGTCTCCTAGGTCAAGCTCACCTTGACCTAGGGGACGCATGTGTGTGACAAAAATCATTTAACAAGGTGGGTGTGGACTCACGAAATGATCTGTACCCTTGCCAAAACCACGCCCCCAAGCCCCCTCCCCAGGCTTGGTGCTTCGCAAATCGCATTATCAACACCTCCACCCCATTGCTAAATCCTAGACCCGCCACTGAATATATCGAAAGCGAATACAACGCAGGAAATATACTGTATAAATATACAAGCTTTTGAGAACATTAACAGCATTAAGACCACTTTAATATGCTGCATTCTATTTCCATCAATTATTTTATTTATGCGATTGTTATCGGCCTATTCAAATTAAAGCACTTTTTACACACATAATATTATGCCTTACACTTTATCAAATTAAAATGATTTTACTTAATTTTAAAGCGTACTTATTAGATTTACATTGTTGAATGTAGGTTGCAAAAACATCTACGATCAAATCCAAACGGTATGTCATTACACAACTCTATGTTTTTACTGTTGTTTTTATTTTCACTGAGATATTCCGGTTAAATGGCAATGTATTTTGGCCAAATTTTAAGATTTGCTATGTTGTAAAATAGTTCACAAAATGGAAGAAAAGGACGCATTACAAAGGGACTTTAGAGCACAGTCTCGGGTCTGAAAATGTAGGCCTGAACAACAACACAAAAATGGATGTCGCAATTCAATCATCATGAAGGCATTCAGGCTTGTACAATTACAGTATGGCATAGTACACGCCACTTACATAGTCAGGGTGAGAAATAAAATTAAAATGTTGACCATTTTTCTAACAATCATACTTACTTTCTTTGACACTTATTTTGAACATTACCATTAGGACATTGTTTAAGTCAACACTAACCTTTATACTTTTACACTGATTGTACTGTACGCTCTACCAGAGAGGTACATTTCCATTACATTATGGTCTTCCATTTCTACAGCGCATGAAAACGTTACGTAACCAACTACTAATTCGGAATCGCTCAGCTAGGTTGTAGGACCATTTCTAAAATGCGGATTCTGCGGACTAGGTTCTCAGTGTATGATACCAACAAATAATAATAATAATAATAATAATAATAATAATAATAATAATAATAATAATAATAATAATAATAATATAATATTATGTTAATAATAATAATATTATAATAATATAATAATATTAGGCCTATTATTTAATGCTATTTTCACCAGAATCCGCAAAATCAGCATTTTAGAAATAGCCAGGTTTGTAGGCCTACATGTGCCTATATTGACACTGACAATACTATGTCTAGATAAGTGGATCTATATCTAGACATAAGTTCGACGTGAACCAGGCTACTGTGTGTTTTAGCATTTGTTTTAAAGTTATAACTTATCAGACATTCACATGAACAATAAAACGAATGAAAACAAACAGGGGGCGTATCTCCATACAGGTCCTTGAACAGGCCTATGTTGTTTATAATTGATGGGGTGCATGTAGGATTTGGTGGAGGGGGTGCGTGAGAATCTACACCACCTCAGTCCCACTATGACTGGGGCTAATGTGAGAATATGTTTAGCATATGGACCGCAAGGTACTGGAAATTGTATTATTTAATATGTAATGACTAAAATAATATATCAACAATAGAACAATTATGCAGACGGTGCGATACCCCTAAATTATTGTTGTATTGTATTGTTGATATCAATTACCGGTAAGATTTTTAAGCAATGGGTGTGATTTCCGGGTATCTAGAGGTCCGTCCCCCTCATCAGTCCAGCCGAAAAAAAGTGAGAAAAAATTGAATTAAATAGAAGAAAACAAGATTTCAAGTGTTTCTTAGCCATTATTACGGAATGTAGTATTAGGCCTAGAGAGAACAGCTATCAATGCACCATGTTTGAAAACAAAATGGTGGTTTTTCCTATTTCCTCTTATTAGGCCTGAACCTTTAATATAATGCATGTGAACCAAGTGGTTTATCCGGGCACTACACCTCTCACAAATCCTCCTCTCGGAACTGCGGTTTCAGGCTTAGAGCTTGTGACTCCCAACATAAAAAATAGACTATAGGTCTTTGATTAGTAGTGAGGAGGGGTGTCTTGGGGAAGGGAAGCATCGGGAAAAGATCAATAATTTTGTCGAGGAACACTGCTCTGAAAAAGCATTTATACCGTCTGAGAGTGCCATATTTGTGAGAATCTAAAGGTCCTTATTTTAAAAATTTGCTCACCTCAGGGCGAGGGCTCCATGTTGGTAAAGTGCACATCAGTAAAGTGCACACAGAAAATGCCTGTGTCCACCCCACCATGGTGGGCCTGTGTTATGGATTCTCACGCACCCCCTACCGCCAAATCTTGCATCCACCCCAAGGATTCCCCCATGCAGTGGCGGATTCAAGGGGAACCCAGTCGGCCCGTGCTCTCGTAAATATTTCAATATAATATTATTTTTAAAGAGTGCTATTTCAGGCCATCTAGAGGCGACGTAATCTATGAAAAATAACAAATCTAGATGCATGGAAATAGCATCTGGCAACCTATAGATTTATGTATGTAGAGTAAAGAAGACTTTATAAGTATGGGGGTATTCCGTTATCATTTTGCGGCTAAATTACTCATTTATCTAATATCGTACATGTGTTGTACTACGGTACCAGCACTGACTATTTATACCATGTGTGGCACTGAAGATTTAGCGGTGTTTGAAAGACATATCAATGAATCTGATATTGATTTCTTGCTACGAATACCAGGCCACTTGAAGCAACACATGTTCAATATATATATTACTAATACTATTATTATTACTATTATTGTTATTATTATTATTATTATTATTATTATTTTTATTGTTATTATTAATATTATTATTTTATTATTGATATTGTTATTATTATTATTATTATTATTATTTTTATTATTATTATAACTACTACTACTGCATATTATTTGTATAATGCCTAAATAAGGCTTAACAAAGAAATAAGGGGGAAAAAAACAATATAAAAATAGCAAGGAATTTTAAGCAATACAATCACATTTTCATTTTAATGATAATACAGAGAAAGAATGCCTTACATAATTACGTCAAAAACAATTAAGAGAGAAATTGAAACAATTCATCATGAGTGGATTTCCCACACGATTAAAAACTGGAATTGGTCTACAGTTGTTCGTGCTTTGAACAAGTCATTCCATTCTTAGAAGAAGCCTTTTTATGGAAAAATGTCGAAACTCACTCCGGCTATATCAAAATTGATTACAAGATTTAAAATGTTATTCTTGTTGATAAATAGATAAAAATTACTACTCTTTCCATTTTCTATTGATCTAATCTACGTATACAGAGTTTATATTTAATTAAATATAATTGTTTAGGTATTTATTTGAAATAAATATATTACATGAAATTATGTAATAGTTAAAATTTATAATAACACTTAATATTACTTGAATAAAGCAATAAATAATAATGTTAAAATTATATTATTGTTTATTAAAGTCTACAAAAAACACAGAAAGAAGGAAGAAAAGCAAAGCAGTCCAGACCGGCTAAAAATTGTACCGAAAATAATATAAAATTGATAATGGCACATTATTATATTCTACGAGTTTATAGTGAATTTTGGACACTATTCATCAGAAGTCAAGCCTACACGATTTGTAATATTAAATCAAATTATTATACATAATTGAAAGGCTTCCCTCCTTTTCTGTATTGTTCGTTTTTGACATTTTTATTTTAACATTACATAATTTTTCCCATGTACAATCATTAAATTAAAAAAGAAATAGTAGTACAGATTTAGCTTAATTTCAAATGATAATAATAATAATAATAATAATATTTTTTAGCCGTATATTGTGGCCAATAGTAAAATAATATATTATATATAATAATAATAATAATAATAATAATAATAAAGAT